CGGTCCGCGGACTTTGAAAGGCTCTTAGAGGAGCTAAATAAGCATACTTATAGTGCTCGTCGAATAATAAGGGACCGTGAACTAGTTAATCATGCTAGAATTGTTATTCATGAGGATCTCCCTCGCCTCGACGATCCTCGTAAGTGGTTACTCGTTCTATTGTTCTTTTGTTTATTTTTTGTCGATGGTTGCTTTCGTATTTTATCATCGCGTGTTTCTCTTTCTTTTTCAGTTCAAACACTTAAGCGTTTCGAGCTCAAGAAGAAACAATCGGCTGACCAGCCTGCCGTCGGTTCTGGTCCCCCTCCTCCCGGTGGGTCGGGGTCAAAGGCTGCTGTGACGGCCCTCGAGACGGCCACTGCGCGGAAGTCTCGAGTCGAGGCCCCTGGTGCCTCGGGTCATCGTAAACAGCCTGGTTCGGGGTCCCGCAAGAGACCTCAAGACGATCGGCCTTTGGTTCTGATCCCTGACGACCTCAAACGTCGCAAGGTCGACAAGGGAAAAGAGAAAGTGGTCGAGAAGTCTGCGGCGGACATTACCGTTAAGGACGTGACTGTTCAGATGCCTTCTCGGCTTTGGAACCACCCCGAGCCGTATCACGTGGCCAAGTATCTCAATTCTACTATTCCTGAGGCCGATAAGAAACGCGTCGAGGGGAATCTTTACGAGCGTTCTTGCTATGCTACTCAAATGCTCACTCGGGTATCTTTCCTTCCCTTTGCTGGTCCTTTGACTTCGTATATTTTCAGTTTATCTTACCCACCTTCGAATCGTGTTTTCTACAGTTTATGGCTGCAGCGCTCCCCTGCCTCGAGGAGTGGAGCAAGGCCCCTGCTGTTTCTACTAAGTCCCTCGAGGACAAATGCGCGGCTCAGCGTAAAGAAATCGAGGGACTGAAAGAGGATCTCGAGGCCGCCCGGGCTCTTATCGACAAACTGAAGGCCGACAAGGCCGTAGCTCGTCATGCCAATGAGAAGCTCAAAGTAGACCTCGAGAAAGC